TAATAATAAATTAAATTAATTAATATAAATTACTTATTCGCCCGATTTAGTAGTGATCGGCGATTACTGCGCCACGTCTACTGCGCCACACGAATAAGCTAATTGGTTACAATAGTCAACAAATCAAGATTATTTTGATATACGTGTCATGCACTCGGAAAATCGATTTCCCGGCTGCATCGCCGAATCCCTTCCGAAATGATTTCAGCCACAAATATCACATGACAAAATCACATGTCCACCAGGCTTTTAGTCAACCTCCTATTTGGATCATGATGAAAAAATCATGTGGTAATTTTATATTTTTGCAGACTATGTCACATGATTCAATAACAATGCAATGATCGCATTATATCTCGAAATTTTTTTATTTTATAATACAACGATGGAACATACTCATTCGGAAGCACGCCTTCATTTTCTCTGGTCAGCCGCACACACAGTGTTTCACGTATCACCTAACCTTTCTGCTTTGTATATGAGCGAGTTCAAAAGGAATGCTGGTGAAGTTCGTTTGAATTTGGCGGACGGGGTTCGACGCATATATTGTAGTTATTGCGGGAGTATTTTTGTTCCTGGGGTTAATTGTAAAGTATGGGTGGCTGAAAATGGAGTTGTCAAGAAAAAAAGAACTCGTGTAAGGACTAAGAAAAAAAAGAAGGCACAACCTAGGAAAGGAAATAAAGAAGAAAAGGGAGACATGAACATGAGAATGAAATTAGGGATAAGGACAAAAGTGAATCGTTATAACAAAAATCACGTATCATACTTGTGTCAGTTATGTAACTATGAGACAAGGTGGCCTGGAAGTTCAAAAGAGCCAACAATTCGGGAAAAAGAAATGCAAAAGGAAAAAGGAAACAATGATAATAACAACTTGAATCTCAATAAAATCAATAAAAGCAGCAATAGTAATAAAACAGCCATTGCTGATCCTACCACCTTTGCAAAAAAATCACGCAAAAAGAAGAAACTAGATCTTGCGAGTAAGATAGAAAATAATGAACGTAACAAAAAAGATGTCGAGCAAAATATTGGAGCATTTTCCTTGACAGATTTTTTATCATCTTTGTAACACGTATAAGAATAAATTCTTAAGAATAAATTCTTGGCAATAAATATTTTTCTATATTTTTGCAAACTTTCCTATTCATCGTATCTTACCATCATTACTTCCGCAATATTTTATGAAAAATCAAGTCATTACGCAACTTGGAAAAATTGTGTAATGTCACAAAGATCAACAAAAACCTGGCTCAAGAGATTACAGATCACAAAAGTAAGACCGACTCAGAGGTCGGCTTTTATTAAAATTCAAAGAATAAATCACAAAGTACAGGCGTAACTAAATTAACCCTGTCATATCAATCATCTTTAAATAACCAATCACTTAATTTCTTTTTCTTAGCCTGATCATGCCATTGGCTTTTGCAACCAATACGAGTTCTTGATCCAACAATACCTTCCATTCCTTCCCATTTTAAATCCGATACTTGAAGCATACGTTCCAATAACGCTTCCAATAATTCCAATCGCCCTTCACGAGTTCCTTTCTTATCTCCCAAGTCGGGAATATTTGCGATCATATCTGGAACATTTGCGACAACATCTGGAACTCCTGCGATTGGATCAGCACGATGTGGTAGATTTTTAATTAACACACCCAGTAATAATTTTAATCGCTCGTCCAAAGTCCAATCGCCTTTACGTATATGTAACCCATGCATTCCATTTGTAATTTCGTTAACATCTTTATCAAAACAAAGAAAATATTAGAAAATATTGATACAAAAATTAACGTTAAGCTTTCCTAAGCATCGCACATTATAAAGTTTGGTTACTCACTTGGTGGAACGGGTCCTACAATGACACGGACGTGTCCAGGATTACCTTTAGCGAAAACTTCTTTGGTTAGTTCATTCTCAACCAGCTTTTTAACGCCCCGGGTCTCATCATTCTGCAAGGGAGTAAACTTTTTAAACTCGTCTATACGGTTAATAGGAAAGTCAGCACTCCATAACTCGAGTTCGTTAGCTGCGATATGGTCAAAACGTGGCTTTTTCTCCTCCTTAATCAACTTCTTGAGCTGATCGATAGTTTTGATCTTATTATAATCGATATCAACTGAGAACGCACTAGCGTCTTCTTGATAAAAGCAGAAAATAGTAGGCATGATTTCTTGACGGACTCGTTACTCAGACAAGCACACATACTTATATTCTTCCCTCAAATTGATCACGCGGAACTGATTAGAAGATCGTCTGTGGATTTATCATACGAATGCGTGAGAAAAGCTTATGAGAGTATTATTACGTATATATGGCGTAACCATAAAAATGGGATGTCATGTCAAAAACGTAATGTAACGGTAAAATTTTGTCTAGGAACGGAAGCTGCGCAAGAAATAATCCCAAAGCAGACGAAATTTAAAAAGTGGCGCAGCTTGACAGTGAAACTCCCAGTTTCAACAAATGGAAAAACTTGATGAACAACCAGTTTTTGAGACGCCTTAAAGATTTTTGTAACTCACTTTCACAATGACTTTCGGAAATTCCTAATAAGTATTTAATTCTTAAAAAAATTAGGTAGGGGCTATATAAAATACGGTAGGTCTATATAAAATACTAACGCTAATGAATCTAAAAAGTATAGAGCTAGAAAGGAAATAATTCTTAAATATCAGACATAATTAAAGAGCAAGCCTTATTATCCAACACATTCAAAAATATAAAAAATACAGAAAACTGATTATAATAAAAAAAATAATTTTACAGATACAGTACTCCAGGGCCATAGTAAAAAATTGCAAAGCATAGCGCGCTTATAAGCTGGGGGCCGTACACTTAGAGGATGCACTTAAGGAGGTGCGACTGTAATCTTAATGCTTTAACGTTACGACTCGCATTATATCACGTGAGCGTGTGTTTTGCTTGATTTATTGTGTACATTATGCACATGCGTATGACACAAGCTGAGTCCGAAACAGATCTAGCTTGGAGCACTAATAAGAATTGAGATTATCTCAATTATGGATATCGAAATGTAAAGTTGCCTCCCGGAAAAATTTCCTAGGAATGTGCCACATATACTCGCAAAAGACCGAAAATAAACTACTCTTTTGCATGGTTTTTTAATCTTTGAAAAGGCGTAACTAATTTTTCTTTCATTAATAAAATTTCATCTTTTTCCGCCTTTTCAATTATAAAGTGAAACTCGCAGAATAAACCATGATGCAAAAAAAATTTAAATATGGTGATCTGATATATTATCGAATTAGGAATACAATCCAATTCAATTGGACAAATACAGAAAAATATATACTAATAATAATAATAAATATCAAAAGCAGAAAAACAAAGCTCATCATATTTTCTCCACTATACTATAAATTACAAAACACAATTGAATGTTTATCAATCACACCCACTAGTCTGCCTCGACATCAACCGTAGCAGTTGATTTGTTGCTTGGTTTGCCCTTTGGTTTTCGATCACGTTGATAGTATTCTTGTAAAATTTTTTGCGGTATACGATTTAACATCTCCTTTGGGAATATACGCAGAAGGGACCAAGCAAGATCTAATCCCTCGTAAATGGTTCTAGATTCGTATGGACCTATAAATGATAGAAAGATTAAATAATTATCCTATGAATTGGATCCTCGCAATGACTAATAAGATTAAGTGATCAATATAAATGTTACTATATACTATACCTTGTGCTATATATGTTTTTTCAAATTTTTCCAAAAATTCTAAAGAAAGTTTGTCTTCTTGATTCAAAGCTTCCTCACCAACTACAGCTTTCATAGCCGCCGCATCTCTTCCGATAGCATATTTAGCATACTATATAATAACGTGATGAAAATTAAAAAACTTCATATATTCAAATTCGATCTCTCTTCTATTACACAGATTTTCACCCACCAATTGATTAGAAACGTCTGCATGATCTTTCCTAGTCATGCCTTCACCGATAGCAGATTTCATTAGACGAGATAAAGATGGCAAGACATTGATAGGTGGATATATTTGACGATTATGTAATTGTCGATCTACAAATATTTGCCCTTCCGTAATGTATCCTGTCAAATCGGGAATTGGATGCGTAATATCTAAAAACAGAAGATTATTACTAGCAGCTCAAATTACATACTTATTATGATCTATTTAAAATTTTGCCGATAAAAAAAATCTTACCATCGTTAGGCATCGTTAAAATGGGAATTTGTGTTATACTTCCATTTCTGCCTTCAACACGCCCAGCTCTTTCATATATTGTGGATAAATCTGTGTACATATAGCCTGGGTAGCCACGACGTCCAGGTACTTCTTCTCGTGCTGCGGAAACCTGTTTAATATTATAATGTTAAAATTTTTAATTATCTCAAATAATTTTGTTTTTTCTTATTATATTCATTGCTTGATGATTTGATAATAAAGAATGAAGAGGATAAAAAATTTACTTCACGCAAGGCATCAGCATATGAACTCATATCTGTCAAAATAACAAGAACGTGTTTTTCCAGTTGATAGGCATAATATTCAGCTGTAGTCAATGCTAGACGAGGCGTGATAATACGCTCGATACTAATAAAATTAAGTTTTAAGTAACGAAAATTTTGGATCTTATAATGTTTCATATAAAGAGATAATATAACGAAAAATACTTACGTCGGATCATTAGCTAAATTTAAAAACAGAGTAACACGCTCAATTGATCCATTTTCTTCGAAATCTTGTTTAAAATAACGTGCAGTTTCCATATTAACACCCATTGCAGCAAATACAATCGAGAAGTTATCCTCATGATCATCATGTATTCCCTTATCGAGCTTTTTGACAAGACCTGCTTGACGACAAATCTGAGCAGCAATCTATTTTCAGTAGTATAATTAGCAAAAAAAAGTTGATGCAAGAAAAAAGTCAGTTGGATGCTTCTAATCAGTACTGGGTTCAGTTTCGAACCTTACTTCGTTATGTGGTAAACCAGATGCCGAGAAAATTGGTATTTTTTGCCCTCGGGCAATAGAGTTCATAGTGTCAATAGCAGAAATACCAGTTTGTATCATTTCCTCGGGATAGATACGTGAATATGGATTAATTGGTGAGCCTATTAGAAAATTGATGTGCAAAATTAAATTAAGATAATAATTTAATTGAATTTATAATTATTTTTAAATCTATGTTACTTGCCATTTATATCGAGAAAATCTTCAGCGAAAACCTTTGGACCTTTATCGATAGCTTTTCCCGATCCATTAAAAATTCGACCCAACATATCTTCAGAAACCGGAATTCGAAGCGTATCACCAGTGAATTCAACATGAGTTGCTTTTGCATCTATGCCTGGGGTGCCTTCAAAAACCTTAAAGCAGATAGTGATACACACGTCAAAGATTACATTTCTTTTAAATATCAGTTTGTATAGATGATGATCTAAAAATAAATATACCTGCACAATCGCTCTTTTGCCCTGAACTTCAAGAACTTGCCCAGCGCGTCGTGTCCCATCGGGTAAAGTTAAGTTTACAATTTCTGCAAATTTCGGGACCTTTATATATCAAATCCATATCAATTCAGTACGAGTTTATTTTAAAATCAAATCTGCACCGTCTAAAGCTAACCTTGACATGGTCTAAAATTACAAGTGGCCCATTTACACTGGCGACGGTTCGATAATCTAATGAAAAAAGTTTCAGCATAAATTATTTAAGTATTTTAACTAGTAGAATCAAAAATTTTAAGGATTGTAAATTTCTATTTAATTTTTGTCAAAAATCACGAAATATGAAGAAAACTCATTTTCCAAACCGTGAGCCTTTTCAAAACACGACAAAATTCAGCGGTTAGAAACTAACTCAAGAATGCATACCTATACGAGGTTTACAAGCATAATTCCTGGTGGCAGCGCTAGCATTTAATTTAAATGCGTCTACCGTATCAAGTGTTTTATGATTACTCATATCAACAAAAAGACGTGTGGGCAGGGAATATAACGATAAAAAGATCGATAAACTTTTTTATCTTTCCAACACTTTGAAAGATAGAGAAAAATCGTTCTTCAGATGAAAGACTCTGATTGGTTAAATTTTGATAATGTGTCTGATGTAAGAGTAATAGGGTCTAACGTTAAATGAGATAATCAAAAAAATTCTATGACCAATAGAATCTAAACGATCGAATTATAAATAGTTCAGTTGTACAAAAAAGGCTTTTATAATCATAACCAGATTTTATTTTTCGAAATGCCCTTATTTAATCCACAACTAATTCTAAGCAGTATTTTTCTCGGTGTTGGTGCTTGGGCTATAATAAAACCAAAACATGTAATAAGGCACACTTTTCATCGCCCAGTTATGAGCATGGACGCGTTACTAATTACACGATGCCTTGGAGGTAATTAAAATTTAAAAATTCTCCTTCATGCCTTTATTTTTAACTAAAAAATCCAATTATTATTAGCTCAAGCAATGCTTTGTGGAATTGCGTTAAAGACAGCCAAATTAACACGCCAAACTTATATCTGGTTTGGTATTTTTGGCAGTGTCCCGTTCTTTTACATTGACTGGTATTTCTTTTTTGTTGACCCCGTTTTTACCAAGTATATTTTCTTGGATCTGTTGGGAAATGTTTTTCTCATTGGGGCATGTTATTTGGGCGCGAAACGATTAAAATAATAGCGATAGTAATAATAGTTGGATTTAAGATATGTTGCAAATAAGTTCGATTTATACTCTGGGTGGAATTGTATAATATATATATACATATATTTATTTTAATATATAATAACAAGATATATAATCATTCAATTTGTCATCTTCAAAAAAAACTAATTTGCATAAAATTTCCGATTGGTTAACCAACAAGGCACGTGGTTAATTAATATTTTCTTTTTTTTTTGGTGAGACGACCACAAGGGCAAAACCAGAAATTCCGTAATGATGCGTCAATAAGGCAAAAGCCCATCGAACGGAAACAACGAACGAACGATAAACGCCTAATTAAAATCTTAAATGATGCGAAAACGATACGAATTAAATATTTTTTCACATATTGATTAAAAAACACTTTTCCTCTTAAAATAATTATGATTCAGTATGCGTATTATTTTGTTTTGTCAAATTTTAAAGAAAGTTAATTAAATATTAAATCGTGTTTGTAATGCAAGCGACATGTAGATCAAAGAGTTAAAGTTTGGGAAATCCTTAACCAATTGTAGTATAGGGACAAACCACATGGAAGATAAATAAATTACACTATGGGCGAATGTTGGCGCGAAAATTGGGCGTAAAAAAGAATTATTACATTTATAATTTTTTAGATGAACTAATCATCATGCAAATGATATAAATATAAAATGATGTTCCCACAAACATCCAATTTTTTTTCCCCCGTTAAAGAAAAATCTTAAAGTGTTGAGTTTTTCCCAAATTCTCGAGCTCTTGTTTTTTTATTGTAACGAGCAATTCATTCCGTTTCTCAAATACCTTAACTATAAAGCGTGAAAAAAGCAGTCGCCAACCAAAAACCTTTGCCATATAAAACAGCAGTGCTATATTAGTAATTCAATGAAGTTTGGCCACCACCTGAAAACTTCGCTATATCCAGAGTGGACTTTCCAGTATCTTGCGTATGATGATCTAAAACGTGAACTTAAAGATCGCACACGTAACAAAAGGAGTTGGACTGAGGAGGATGAAGTGAGTTTTGTGGAATTGCTCGAAAAAGAGCTCGACAAAGTTTTCACATTTCAAACAATGAAATCGGGCGAGATAAATCGGCGAATTCAATATTCCGAAAAAAAGATTAGCGATATCATGCAATCGAAAACCGCGAATGAAGATGCCTATATCGCGTTAGAGGAAGAGCTATCTCTGATTATCGCTGATGTGCATGACCTCGCAAAATTTACCCGTTTGAATTATACAGGTTTTTTAAAGATTATAAAGAAACATGACGTGAGTATTTATACTACTAAGATAAAAACGCAACCATGCTTAAACAAATAATCATCTTTTCTTATCATAATAATTTTTTTCTTCATTTTCCAAATCAAGAAACAAACGAAATGGGTTCTAAAACCAATGTATTTGGCTCGTCTAAATCAAAAACCATTCTTTAAAGAAAACTATGATGCATTAATTGTCAAACTTTCCCGTCTTTATGACATTGTTCGAACACGCGGGAATCCTGTAAAAGGAAACGCTGCGGCTGGTGGATCACAACAAAATTTTGTTCGTAACACTCGGAAGTATTGGGTTCATCCAGATAACATAACTGAGTTGAAACTCTTAATTTTAAAACATCTACCCGTACTTGTGTTTAATGCAAACAAAGAATTCGAACCTGCTGATTCGGCAATCTCTTCAATTTATTTCGATAATGAAGATTTTGAATTATATCTTGGTCGTCTGGAAAAGACTGAGGGCGCCGAAGCAATACGATTGCGATGGTATGGTGATATAGATAATCGTGAAATCTTTGTTGAGCGTAAAACACATCGAGAAGACTGGACTGGGGAGAAATCGGTAAAAGCGAGATTTCCAATCAAAGAAAAATATGTCAATAAATATCTTCGTGGAGAGTATTCAATGGATAAAGCTCTGCAAAAACTGAAAATTAAAAAAGGAAAGGGAGATAAAGAAATTGAGAGTTTATCACGTTTAGCCAATGAAATCCAATACACGACTATTACCAAAAAATTAAAGCCAGGTAAAATTTTCATAAATTTTTAATAGAATTTATATCAACCTATACATTACATCCTTAACTAAATAATTTTATTTTATAAATAGTTCTTCGTACATTTTATAATCGTACAGCTTTTCAATTACCTGGTGACGCTCGTGTACGTATATCACTCGACACTGAACTTACTATGATACGTGAAGATAATTTTGAGGGGAATCCTAATAATCGTTCAGGAAATAATTGGCGAAGAACTGATATTGGAATCGACTATCCATTTGATCAACTCCCAGAAGGAGAAATCGTAAGATTTCCGTATGCTGTGCTGGAAGTGAAATTACAAACTCAAACTGGTCAAGAACCACCACAATGGGTTCAAGAGCTTAAGGATAGTCATTTGGTAAGATCAGCAGAATATTAACTATGATGATTAGAATTACAATATATGCATGTATTTTGACATATTTTATTCATTACTACAAAAGGTTGAAGAAGTCCACAAGTTTTCAAAGTTTATTCATGGCGTAGCCACTTTAATGGAAAATAATATTCAACTGTATCCATTTTGGCTCGCCCAAATGGGTGCAGATATACGTAAACCACCAAGCAAATTCCGTATTCAACGTCCAGGGTCTACTTCTGATGGGGGAATGGCTAGTCCTGCCATAGACGAGGGAAAGATTGAAATAATTTCAGAGGATCCATATGAAGGAACATCATATCAAAACGGGGGCATAATACCACGGTCAAAATTGACTCCATCTTCAATTCCCGCTGAATACCTAGGAAAACGTGTAGCTGTGCCTGTACGTGTCGAACCAAAAGTGTATTTTGCAAATGAGAGAACTTTTCTCTCGTGGTTAAATTTCACAGTAATTCTTGGTGGTCTTGCAGTTGGTTTACTGAACTTTGGTGACAAAATTGCACGGATCGCTGCCGGAATGTTCACCTGTGTGGCATTAATGATAATGATGTACGCTTTATGGACCTACCATTGGCGTGCTAGACGAATTCGCAATAAGGAACCTGGACCATATGATGATCGTGTGGGTCCTACGATACTTTGTGGTGCATTACTGATAGCAGTTATAGTCAATTTTTGGCTACGGTTTACAGTGGCTGAATAATTTTGGAGGTTGAATAATATTGTAGAAATAACGATAATAATTGTAATATTAATAGAGCAAGCTTAACTTTTTTTAATATTTAAGTGCGGAAAATTACACTATGGGAGAAACATAGTTGTTAATAATAATATGTAAAAAAAAAGCGTGAGATGGATAAAAACAAATTCTGATTATGTTATTATTTCTTTGTAACAATTCTACTCATTCATTTATGGGATTTTGAATATTATACGTATGGTTACCGTGCAAAGTGTACTGATAATTATTATAATTTCATGAAATTTTTAATGATTTTCGCAGATTAAAATAGATCATTCGGCCAAAATTATTATAATTTCTTAAATAGTGATTTTTTTAAAATAGTGATATATATTACAGAATACATTAATTTTGTAATAGTATTTATATTGTTAATAATACTAGCATAATTCTTTTATATCACATAATAAATATTGTGATATTTTATTTAATCTAATTTATTGTTATTATCAGTTTTTTAAATATTTATAATATAGCAGATCTTTTGGTGCAAGATTTTTATTATTTAAGTAATAAAGATAATTGTTAAAAGCAAGTAGATTTAAGATAGATTTACTAATAATTCTTTCATGATCTTGTAAGTGGATTGTTCGATTACACATCTGGAATTTGGAGATCAGGATAGGTTAGTGCTGGTAATCCATTACCAAAGACGAAAATTCTCATAGTTGAGTATATTAACAATATCCTATTTCTCAATCTTTAATCGAATATCTGATGATGGTGACGATATATAAATCCATAATTACCCGTTCATCCTCTTGTTTTCTCCCATATAAACTTGAATTTATTCACATTGCTATTCTCGCCTATTGCTTTGTCTTCATAATGACTTGATCTTCGAATTAAGTTTTTAAATTCAAAATGTATTTGTACATAAGTTAATATTAATTTTACAAAATATGTTTTATTCTTTAAAATCTATTCTCTTGAGATGAGTAAAAATAAATATATCGCAAAAAAAATTCATAAGCCAAGAGATAAAGAAATGAAAATTTTGAATATAAATGACTAAAGAAAATATAAAGTGCCTTCCTGATTCACATTCGGCAAAACTTAGCTCGTATTAGCGGCCAAGGGATGCGTCGTGTAGCTTTCTTCTGAATCCTATTTGAATTTTGCAATTCTAACCTCCTCGGCAGCGTCTATTTGTTGTTTTTCCGTTTCTTTAGTTTCGCCTCGATACTTGTAATCTTTGAATTCTAGCTTTTAGTGATAGTATATAAATATTGTAAATAAAACATTACTGTAGGATTTTTAAGAATTTTACCTTCATTTGCTTCGTTTGTTGATTTGGCATCGATATCTATATCAAATTCTGTGCTTACATATTCTGCAAACAAGTATTTATAAATTTAATATTTTAAATAAAAATAACATGTTGCATATAGTGATTTTACCTTCATACAAACTAACATTTGTAGAACCTAATATTCGATACAAATTCTTAATTAAATTGAAAGGTTAATATAATATTGTTTATATTTAGAAAAACATTACCTGAGTCAGTTAGAATTGTAATTAATATTTATTAGCTTGATAGAAATAGATTATACAAACATCATTGAAAACTACCAACCTTCCTGATTCACATTCGGCAAAATTTTGCTCGTATAAACGGCCAAAGGATGCGTCGTGTAACTTTCTTCGGAATCATATTTGGATGCATTTGCAGTTCTAAACTCCTCAGCAGCGTTTATTTGTTTTTCCATTTCTACAGTTGTGGCGCCACCCCATTTTTTAACGATGTCGCAAATCTCTTTGGAATTGGTCTTTGTGAGGGATTTTGATGCCAACAACGTACAATCAAGTCGCGGTAAAAGTCAGGTAATCCTTCCGCCGGTAATTCTGGTCGCAATCCATCGCATATATCTAAGGCTAATTTACCATCGAAAGGACGTTTACCGAATGGCGGTTTACCGACACACCACTCCCACATGACTATTCCCAATGCATAGACATCTGATGCCATGCTAAATGCCTCTCCTCGGAAAACCTCTGGTGCAACGAATGGCATCACACCAAACATTTCGCGTTTTTCATTTTTTCTGATTGCAGCACCCATATCAGAGATTATAGTTTCATAACTACTTAATCGAAGAATATTTCCAGGATGCAGATCACCGTGTATAATACCTTTTGAATGAATAGACTGAAGATCAGTACAAATATCATATAGCACTTGTATGCGATGAATCCATGATATTTTGGTGAATTGCTTTCATATTTTTATCAGAAGTAATTCTCACATATATCATATTATTAAGAAGATAATTAGTTATATAATATCTTGAAGTAATAAAAGTGAATAACTACCATGAACACAGTCACTATTACCATTTTAAAATAATTACATACGCATAATCTTAAAATGATAACAGTCTTTTTGGTGTTCTCTCTGTGAAGGCAAAACCAGAAATAAATTCATCAATCACAGAAATAATTCAAACTGGATCCAACAAAATCAACTAACTACAAAATAGAAAGACAACTTCAAAGATTAATCAATCTTTTTAATTCATCTCAATTATCAAGATAACAAGGAAAGGACTTACGTTAATTAATCTATAATTTATTTATAGCTGATGTATCAAGAGATAAAGTATCAACTAGCAAATATCAAATACAACTTTGGTTTTAGAAGTATTCAACTTGTATTGTAACTGAGATTGCTGATATCATTCACAATTTACATGAGGAAATTATCACATTTAATCAATAGAGAACACACTATATTCAGAGATCAAGATCTAGTACTTCAGTAAATATATCAGTCAGAACTTCTACACCAGTATCCTTATCATCCACTTCAGTCTCAACTTCTAACATATTCTTCACTAATCTTCTCTATAGAAGAAGAGTTCCAGTTTAATCAAGAAATATAACAGAAGAAGAATCTTCAGAAGAAGAATCTTCAGAAGAAGAATCTTCAGAAGAAGAATCTTCAGAAGAAGAAGAAGAAGTCCATTCTCCTATCCTTTTAGATTCATCTTCTTTATCATCACAAAGAAATCAAGAAGAAGAAAATATGGCAGACCAAGCTGTACAAGTATTAGTCATTGCTCTAGATCCATTAGTAGTAGTCATACAGAATCAACAGAATCAACAGGCTAAATTATTAATAGTATCACTTCCCTTTTATAATGGTAGAACACATAAAGATCCTATAAATTGAATTGAAGAATTTACTCATACAGCTAATGCAAATAATATAACAAATCCAAGAAAGGTAGAGATAATATCTGTCTATTTGAGAGGAATTACCTCAATCTGATATCAACAAAATAAACTTGCAAATAATAATTGGCCCATTAGTTGGAATAATAATAATGACAATAACTCATTTTACCAAACCTTTATTATCTAGTTTAAAACTAATACTCAAGTTTTAGCATGGCAATAATAATTAAGATTAAAAATGCAAGGAATAAATGAGAACATAACTTTATATGCTGAGAATATTTGCATACTACTTAGAAAAATTAATCTAACAAGTATATATCCTGCCACTTACTATATCAAGTAATTTGTAAAAGACTTAAAGCCAAAAATTGCCTTTCATGTGAATAAATCTAACCCAAACACTCTAGATGAAGCAATCACAAAAGTAATCAGTACTAAATCTAGCTATAGACAAACATATCAGAACTCTCTTAACTCTATCTCGCTCATGTCACAAAATCTTGACATCCCCTTTTCCATCTCAAATCTAGCAAATGACATGAGTAAAGCCATAGCTGATCTTACTGAACAAGTGAAAAAGTTGTCTACTCAGAATAATTGAAATTCTAATAATCATTCTAATTAAGAAAAGACTTGTTATAATTGTGATAAAAACAATCATATAGTTTAAGATTATAAATTACCAAAGAAGAATACAAACAGTAATAGTAATAATAATATCTCAAATATTAAATACTTCAAATATAATAAAATGAGACACTATATCAATAGCTATACAAAAAGAAACATGAATACTAGACAGCCAATCTATCTTAGAATCAATATCATCATCACAATATCAGATAATAATTTATTATTATAATAATTACAACAACTTCTAGGTGAATAGTTTATAACATTTCCATCTCTTAATACTACCATCATTAATAATAATAATATCCCATATTTAAACTAGAGTCCATACCTAAAAAAGATTAGAGTACGAGCCAATCTCAAAAGCCTTCAATAATCTTTTTACAATAATTGCTAACTAAAATTGCAGAAGAAAATAAAAATCTAGAAAAAAGAAATGAAAAAGTAGTAGATGCAGTTCATTATGAAGAAAAAGTAGAAGACTGATCTACCAGAATAATAATTGATAGTAGATCAGTTAGTAATATCATGTCAGTCAAATTTTTGAAATAAGTAGGAAGAAAGATTGATAAGTCCTCCAATATCAGTCTTATAGGAATAAATAGAAAATCAGAATGATCACTAGGAGAAGTAGAAGGATTAAAATTAAAAATTGGAAATCTTGACCAACAAATAGATACTCTAGTCATGAAAAAAGCAAAGTATAATCTGTTGCTTGATAACTAATGGGTAAAATAATCTAAAGCTATTTTAAACTAAGATAAAGAACTTTTAAGTATTAAAGTTGAAGAAGAGTCTATAATCATCCCAGTCACTTGTACTTAACAAAGATTAACTATGAAATTGATCAGTTTCAAGAGAGAACTTGAAGATCTTGCTCTTGAAGATGATGATGATGAATATGAATTTGAAGAAGAGAAGTTAGTCAATCAGCTCCTATATACAGTATATGAAAAGTAAAGTGAGTAGCTTGTGTTAAAAGTAGAAGACCAAGAGAATCTTATAAAAATCAATACTGAAGTCATTAAACAAGAAGAAAAAGAAAGAATTCACCAAGAGAGATTAGAAAACTATAATACCTGTATTCATAGTGGAAAAGAAAATAATTATATTCAATGTAAGAAAGAATAAGACATATATAGATA